TTAAGTGAATTATGTATTTAGGATTCTTTTTTGCCAACGCCTTCGTAGCCAAGAAAATTTACTTTCAGAATTTACCTAAAACGTCTAAAAGAGTTTTGTTTGAGTTCAGATTTTACCATAAATATATTTTTTTTTCTATTTTTTCGCTCAATCATATTATGAATTCTCTAGACAAAATAGTTTTAATAGACAAAATTAAGTTGCCAAATCATTCATCACAAGGTTGCCATACCATTTGTCATGTAATTCAAATTATTTCCATGATACAATAATTTGTGACGTTTTAGCATTTTTTTTAAAACATTGATGTTGTAAATAATTAAATAATCCAACTTTTGGATCATGAAAATTTCAATTGCATGTCCAATTTTTTTTTTTTTTTTTTCATTATATTTGTTAAATGACCCCAAAATAATGAATTTGAAAATAAACATAACTTGTGTCTCCTTAAAATATATGAAATATGTTAGGGTTAATTCCTGACCTTTGACTATATCCCACTGACACTCCACTAAGTTTCAATATTGATCGCCGTTAACTTTAGTAACAGAATAGGGTGATTTTACAATTTTACCCATGAATTATATATTAATATTTATAAAATTTTGGAGCTAAATTGAAAAGACAAAAACACCCTTCTATATACATAAATAGACAAATACAGCTTTACACAGACACATCATTCTTCCCTCGCGTCCCTCCTTCGCGCGTCGCCATCAGCACGATTGGATTACAGCCTCGACTGCCATCACCATCGTTGCCGTCCACCTAGTCGAGCTCATTGGTTGCTCGTCCACGGTGGTCAACATCGACGACACCAAAAAATTCGGCGTCAAAAACCCAAATCACATCAAGCCCAAACTGTGACCAGATCATCACCGCCTTCGAGCTTCGCCGTCACCATCAACCGCTCCTCGCCCGGTCATCGTAATCCACCATGGACGAAGACATCTGCAGAATTGCTGAGTAGTCATCAACTGGAGTCAAATCGGAATACCAATCTGCAGAATTGATGAGGACTAGCAGAATCCGGCGAGTTCGCGGGTCAAATCGGAATACTAATCGCCGGCCCGTACGCATAACCCAATCGCCGTTCACTCAACCCAATCGTCGTTAAAGAGCTCGCTCCTCCCTTGCCGCCACCAAGGCTCTTCCTCTATTTCTTCTTGTCTTTATTCTAATCATCATTGTCGTTGTGTGAGTCTTTTCCATCGCTCTTCTTAAATATGTCCATCCATCGCTTCGAAGCGGTGAATGCGGTGGTTGATGAGTCCAGCATTGTAGTTGACAACTGGGGACCCGAACCAATTGTTGACTCGGGCAGTGGGTTTGAGTTGGGGGTTGTTATGGGTGGCTCGGAATGTGAATCAGGTGGGTCATTAGAGGTGTGGCGGTGGAGGAGGTGGAGGGGGAGGAGGATATCGTCAACGAACAACTTATCAGCAGAGAGGAGATTGCGTTGAGGGAAAGAAGGATTTCAGACCATCGAGAACTCAAATTCGGGCGAATTTGAATCGCTGCTTCTTCTTCCACTGCTGCAGGGTGTTAGGGTTTGTGGCCTTATGGGGTTTGATTGTTTCAATTTTGGAGTCTCCGTTGTAGAGAAAGAGAGAGAGATGAGGATTATAGAGAAATGTGGGAAGTTTCTTTCCAAGGAGTTTGCTGAGTACAGAGCAGGTGACCCTACTCGTAATAAAGAAAGGAGAGAATGTGAGTAATTAAAAGTAGAGAGAGAGTGTGTGTGTTCTAAGCCAAGGCCGCCGAGAGTGTGTGCGTATATATATTATATGGGGTAAATACCAATAAACACCCCTATACTACTCTCTCTATCTCAAGAAACCCCTGAACTAATTAGTACCCCTAAACTATTTAAAAAATACAATTTAAGGACAAAATTCAAATTCACTGGCACCGGAAATATTAGATTACAAAATTGCCCTTATTATTTTAGGGCCAAACACCACCTTACGGTCCACATTTTATTTTAGTGCCAAATACCAACCAGACCACTACCCAATTAACTAGAAATCTATCCAAGAAACCACAGCTCCTTCAGCCATTGAGTTCATCCGTATTGATGATAAGAAAAACCAAAATTAAAACATATTTATTATCTTATTTTTCAACTGACCACATCTTAATCATATTTTATCTCACCATTATTGGTCCCTTTTGCAATATTGTTTCCTCGCTCCATCTCTGTACACCCCCTGAAAAGCGTAGAAGACATGTGATCAAGAGAGAGATGCGTTGATGAATTTATTTGTCTGCTTAATTGGAATCGGAATCTTCGGCATCTATATATTATCTTTGTAAATATATATATATATATATATATATATATATAGTGCTTATCTTCATTTTATTAAAAGGAACAAATGTATGTGTTTGGATGAAATTAGAACAACAGAGTTCTTGGCACACTAACATTTGAAGTCATTTTTTCTGGCGACGGCTGTTAGCCCAAATCAATCACCAAAAATGGTTGGGTGTTATTTATTCCGTCTGATCTGAATATCTTAGAGGACTTGGACTGAAAATGAAAGGCGCAGGATACAAGGACACTCCTGCACTTGCCTTTTTGCATTGGCTGAACATCTATTATCTGCCAAATTGTCACCAATGTTTTTTACAAAGGTTAGTATATTGTTAATCACCAACATCCCCATCTTCATCCTTATCAATAACATTCATGCAAGCCTATCCACATACGTATACCGACCCACCACCACCCACCAGCCGACGACCACCACCACCCACCGATAACCAGCTGCAAACCCATCTCCTATGGTGATCCATACACAGACAACCACAGCAGGCGGTGGCGTCGCCACCACCCCCATCACCGCCGACCACCAACCAGCACTGTATGGATTATTTACCTTGGTCCCTAAGAACCCAAAACCAAATCAAATACAAATGTAATTGAAATTCATGTATTTTGCATACTGTTTGTAATCTCTTCTAGATATATTCATAGCTTACCTGGGTTTCGGGATTACTCACTCTATCTAAAAATCAGTAGCAGAAACAGAGATTCAAATACTTATTTGGCTTTGATATTTTGATGTTTGGCTTATGAGGTACTATTTGGAAATTAAGTTGATTAAATATAAGGAAAGTGAGTAGAGAGAGAGAGAGAGAGAGTGGTGAGTTTCGTCTGTGATTGTTGAAAAGTTGCAGAGCATAGAAAGAGATTGCAATTTGCAGAGCATGGAGAGAGAGTGGAGTTGGGGGTTGATGGTTCGATTTGGGCCAATTAGAAAGGGTAGTTTGTCATTTTCAATTTATAGCATAGGTCAGGTGACTACTTTACGGTAAAAAACTAACGGAAGGTTGTTTTTGGAAAAATTTGGATAGTACAGGGAGTTTTCTATTAAAAAAATAGTTTGGAGGGTTTCTTGGGAAAGAAAGTAAAGTATAAGGGGGTTTATTGCACTTTACCCTATTATATATATGCAATGGTATATAAATAAACTACATTATCATTTACAATAAGTATGGGGTAGTTTTGTAATTCCTCATTAGTCAATGAGGTTAAAGAGGTCATTTCAGTACTGAAAAGGGTAAAATTGACCTTATAAAAATTTTCTCATGCTGACATCAGCCCACACCGTTAAACAACTACGATAAGGAGTAACTTGGTACGCATGATCAAAGGTCAAAGAGTGTACCAATAATTTAACTTGGACATTTTTTAGTTTTATTTTCCAAAATTCAAATCCTTTAAAACAAAACAATAGATCTTGTTGCAACGTGTCAATACTTCATTAACATTCATGTGTACGAGTGCGCATGTGTGCAATATCATTATATTTTTTAATTTTAAATTATTATCTTTTTCCACCCATTATATGAATTCGAGATAAATAAATAAATAAATAAGTGTGTGAATTATACTGATGTTCCCCCTTGCGCGATAAAAATACACATACCTTTCATGCTAGACATTTTCATTGGATGACTTTTACAAGAAAAATATACACAAACATATGCAAATGCTTCATCCGTAGACTTGGGAGGAATGTCATATGTGCTAATATTTTTAATCATCTTCTCTTTCTTCTTAATAATTGTTTTAGTTAGAACTTGTGAGATTTATTTAGAACAATTATGCTTAATCATTTATCATTTTAATGGCATATCTTTCTCCTATGTGGGATCAAAGTACTCAAATTTTTTTCTAGATATTGAATTTTAAAGAAATTGAACAATTTATGAAAAAAAAAATTGTTTCCTTAACAATGCTTTAAATTTACCCCTTCTCTTTTTATGAGTTACTTGTAATTTTTCTTTACCACCAAATGGGGTGGGTACCTTTCAAAGTAGCTGGTCAACATATGTGATAAATCTAATAATACAAAACAAAAAAATAAAATAAAAAAATTTGTATTTTAATAAATTTATAAAATTTTTACAATTTTATTACATAGTAATAATAAAAGAATGATTATATATATATATATATAGGGTAGAGTACATTCACACTCCCTGAGGTTTGACAAAATACAATTTATTTGAAAAATATGTATTGAAACAAAAAATCATTTTAAACGTCTACATTTTTTAGAAGTTGGGACATCTATAAAGTAAAAAAAAAAAAAAAAAAAAAAAAGTGAACAATATAAAGTGTTTTTTTTTTTATGCATAAATTATTCATGAGAGTAGATTGGTCCAATTTATTAAATTATAAAGTTAAAAAATTCTCTTAAACGGTCAAAAGGTAATTTGGTCAATTTTTCATATAAAGGGGTGTCTCTGTCCATTTTTGAAACTTTCGTAAGTTTTTCGGAGTATCTTTTTATCAAATCTCAAGGAATGTGAATGTACTTTACCCATATATATATATATATAATTATTATACTTTTCTTCCTAACATAGGCAAAATGTGGTATTTTTCACCTGAAAGTTGGGGGCATGTGAATGCATAATACCATCAAATGGTTGGGAGGTAATCTTCTGCTGACGTGGCTAGATCTGAGTAATAACTTATAGGGAGCAATAAATTTTACGGGCGGTGGCCCATGCTCTAGCGAGTCTGTCGCGTGTTGACATGGAGGAGGATTTGGTGCTCCATTAAGTTCCTCCTTCCATCGATCAACTTTTTTGGCAGCTGATGCTGCTGGTTTAGTTTGAGGGCCGGGTTGTTTTGTGTTTGTTGGCAAAAAAAAAAAAAAAAAAAAAAAAAATTTCCTCCTGATTTTCATTAAAAACATATTCTAATCTGTAAATCCGCAGACCTAGATTTGTTGGCCACTACTACTTTTTTTTTTTTTTTTAAGTCTCTTTCAGGGCATTTTGGAGCGTATCCAAAATAAAAAAATAAAAAAAGTGTCCCTATTAATGTGGGGTTGGTATCTTAATTTTCTGAAAAAGGTATATATATTAGGTGCATTTAAGTCCAAAAAAAAAAAAAAAAAATTGGAATTGTAATTCCTCCACATTTCTCCCAGATTCATCCTCCTCCTCATGATTCTCTCATAATCAACCTGATTCTATCCTTCTACCCAGCTTTTGATCCTCCCAACCCCAACCCACAAAAATCTACATTAAAACCCAAATGGGTCCAAGACAATAGTCCTACAAATTTCAAAGTCAATGCCCCCCCCTTCAGATCTGACATCTGTGCTAATTTTCAGTTCTTTTATCAACCCAGAAAAATCTACATTGTTCACTCCTCTTCAGACCCAAATTCAATCTGATTCATGCAAATAAAAAATCACTTCAAAAACATTGGTACAATGAGCTCTATGCCTCTTCTCACCTTTCTCCATATAGTTCTGTATTTGCAAATGCTGAGTGCTCAGTCACCTGAACTCTCAGCCAGAGCACTTGATTCACTGCTTCAAGGCTATGCTTTCAAGGCCTTTTCCAGGCCAAGAACCGGCGTTCCTTACAATGCCGGCGTCCCGGACAGCTTAACCGGAATCAAGGTCTCGGCATTGAGGCTGAGGAGTGGCAGCTTGATGAGAAGAGGATTCAATGGTTACAGGGAATTTGAAATCCCAATTGGTGTTGTTGAGCAGCCTTATGTGGAGAGGCTTGTTTTGGTGTACCACAATTTGGGGAATTGGTCTTCCTTGTACTACCCTTTGCCTGGGTATGCCTATCTAGCCCCTGTTTTGGGGCTGTTGGCTTACAATGCATCTGATTTATCTGATTCAGATCTCCCTGAATTGGACATCAGAGCGTCGAAAAAGCCCATTTTGATCGGGTTTGGGAATGTGGAACTAGCACCAATTTGGTTGGTGCCAATGTGTGTTTATTTTGGATTGGATGGTTCAGTGGAGTTCAACAATGTACTAAGTGGAAATGTGTGTTCAACTTCTAAACAAGGCCATTTTGCTATTGTTGTGGAGTCTAATGCTCCTCCGCCAATGCCTGCCGGAGGAAATCCACCACCTAGCGGCGGCGGTGGAGGTGGTGGTGGTGGTGGTGGTGAGAAGGATGAGTATAAGGTGTGGATAATTGTTGGGGTTTTGGGGGTAGTGCTGGTGTTGGGTATGGTAGGTGTTTGTGTAAGGAGGTGCAGGCACAGGAAAAGGATACAAACTATGGAAAAACAGGCAGAAGGGAGTGTGCCCTTGCAAACAACCACTGTTGGGAATTCTAGGGCACCGACGGCTACGGCGACTCGGACAAAACCATTGTTGGAGAATGAACTTGTGCCTTAGTGAATTAGTCTCTTGTTGGCTGCAAAGATTTTTCCATACTCAATACAAATTCATTCTCATTTTTAATTTTTCTTTCTGACTATTGTAGTGTGTCCATATCTTTTGTGATAGTCCCCAATTGTTGTGACAATTCAGAATCATTGGATTATAAATTTTGCAATAATTTGCTCTGAATTACTCATCAATCATTTGATTATTCCATTTTGAAAACTTTGCTGCCAAATTTCAATTTAATTCAGATTGGCATTCATGTCTTTTGCCTGGACAGTTTAGAGAACAAAGACAGCAAAAACAATGAACACCCATCTAATACTGAGTATTCATTACTTTTTCAACAGAGGGAGACCAAATATTAATTGCCAGCTTTGGTGATACAGAATGTCAAAACAATTATGGCTTCCTTGCTAACTGTACTCTATGGTTAGTAATGGAATTTAATGATTCCAATGTTATTTTAATATTTAAGAAATAATGATCAATTAAGGATCGAATTTGGTACTTATCGGATTTAATTTATGTAAGTACGGTGGTGGACCCTATCATATGATGTCATCACAACGTCATATAATGAGACCCACCGCCTCTCTTACATAACTTAAATTCGATAATTGTGGAATTTGGTCAGCCACTACTCATAATTTATGGAGATATTCTTGAAAAAATTTAGTCAAGAGTTTATGGGATAGAGCCTCTATAAATATATAACTTATTACTCAATCCGTCTTATATTAGTAGTTCCTATATCTATTTTAAAAAGTCCATTTCAAATTAGTTGTCCTACTTAAGAAATAAAAGAAAAATAACGTCATCTATTTATTATTACTCTTTAAATTTTCAACAATCTTTTAATTTGATAATTTAAAAGAGAATAAAGCATTAATTACATGTTCTTTTAAAAATTTCTAATACCAAAATGGACAATTAATATGAAACCGATGGAGTTAATTTAAGTCGCTCACAATTATGGTTGATTCTGGCCAATAACAATCTGACACAAAAATAAAAATTTAAATAAAATTAATAACTAGTTGAGTTGTGATTGACCTTTTTGTCCATGGTTGCAAATGACTTGGATAACAAGGGCTTTTAATACTCATCATTACTCACTATTTACAGATAGCCAATAAATGCAAGAAATAAATGGCACAAATTAAAGTGCATCAACTCTTAAATAAAGGCTGTCAAAAAAAAAAAAAAAAAAAAGCCTCTTGATTAAAGTGTTGAAGGTTTGCCAACAGTACGATGCTTCATAAGCAAATAAATGACATGTTCACAAGGTATTTTGAATACCTGGAAGTGAAACTTACCCTGAGACATGATGATCTTTTAATATGAGGGCAGAAATGAACTTCAATTTATTCAAATTCGAACTAATTTGTTGTGAACTGGACTTGGACTTCACTCAAAAATTGTGACAAGCTCAAAAAATTAAGTTCGAATTTGATCATGTGATCTAAGTTGAAAATTTTCTCCCGCCTATAATTTTACCAGTTTAATTTTATTATGAAACTCAATACAAATTATATACGAAATAGTCAATCATATCAAAAAGTGCGCCTGTATTATGTTTCTTGACAAAAAAAAAGAAAAAAAAAAAAAAGAAAAAGAAAAAAAGAAAATCAAAATCAAAATCATATAAAACTAAAGGAGAATAACAACCCATTAGCCCAGTTCCATTATCAAGTGAGGGCCTCACGCACAGAAAAGTCCACATTTTTTTGCCCAAATAGAGTTTACCACAGACCAATTCTCTTCAACCAGTCCAGTCCAGTCCAGATTATTATTATTATTATTATTACAGTATTATTTTTCTCAACCAGTCCAGGTTAGTCTAGAACAATCAGAAGAAGGGGAGGAAGCGGTGGTGTACGCTCTGTCACCGTTCCAGCAGAAGTGATGACCTGTCTCTGGAAGGATCTTCCCGGCAAGATCCAGCACAAGGTCTCCGAGAACTGGCTCAACGCCATCCTCCTTCTCACTCCTCTCGTCGCCACATATTCGTAAGCTCTCTCTCTCTCTCTATATATATATATTCTTACATTTCAATATATTTATGTCTGTGTATGTGTGTACTTAAATTTACTACGTACTAGTCCTTTCCTCTGTTTGATTCTAATTAGGGTTTCTTTTTTGTTTACTTTTTAATTTTTGAAGGTAAATAATGTGCTGAGGATAATAGGGTGTTTGATTGTGATGCTAATGATTTAGGGACAATAAATGGATGTATCCAGCTGGAAATGTGATTATTTGGTTGATAAATCACAAGTTTGTTTGTAATTTGAACCAATTCTGAAATTTGTACTTCGGATTTATGCATTTATATAGCAGTGTGACTGATTTTATTATTTATGAGCTTCTTTTGATAATGATTTTGGCTTATACACACTTTTGCTTTTGTTGCCTGTTATTTGATTGATGTTTGTTAGCACGTTATCCTTTCACCAGCTTCAGTAAGTGAAAAGAATGGGACGTGCTACTAGATTAACTTGCTTTCGATTATTATTTCAAATATTTGGAAAAATAACTTACTGTGGCATGTTTGAAAATTCGCTTACAAGAAAAACAAGAGAAACCATAAACTCATCAGAATTTATTCTTAGCAAACAAGCAGAGGAGTAGTGAATGAGTTTTGTTGCAGTTGAGATTTGTGCTGTTCCAATCATTGTGGCCTTTCGGTACTAAAATGGCATTGAAATGGATGATTTTATGCTTTTACTTCTCAGCTTCTCCCCATAAAGCAATTTTTTTACTTATCAAAGAAATAAATAAATAAAGCAATTCTAGTGGAACCGTCTATCATTTTGCTGGGGATTTATGTTATACGTCACCCAGAAAAAGAGAGGAAGGAAGATGATGGAGAACCGTTCCCTCCGCTGTAGTGCGAGATATGATTAGGAATTGCCTCAAATGATTATGGTGCCATCTGCTATATGTTAAGAAGCACGAACACTTCTAAAGAGTTGTGTCCATGTTCGATCTGTAAAACACGGATCCTTCTAGGTCACATTTTTGCCACAATGACGCTTTTAACTATATTGAACGCTGTTGGCATTTCTATCATCTTAAGAGGTCAATATGACAATTGTCGCATTAAGTTGCTTTTCTGGTTACAAGTTGACCACATTAGTTTATTTTGGTAGCACACCTATTAGGTTTTATGGGACATGTTTGTTCTGTGCTCCATCTGTGGGCTGCCGGGCATTTGACCATATGAGAAAGTGTGATTACTCCTTTCTTTCTTATTTGTTTCTTGTTCTGCGCATTTCTATGAAAGACGTTATGCTATTGCCTTTCATTTTCTTTGTTTCGCTTGGGTTATTTTTTGAGTGAGTTCCTTGTTCAATCTAAGTTTATATGCTTAGCTTCAGTTGATCGAATTGGGAGGAAGCTCATGCATGTATTTTAGCTACTTCTGCTTGTTATGTTCTGGCACCATCCTTCGGCTATGTTTAGCGGTACTTGGAAGTATATGTTTCAGTTAGTGACTGTGTTCAGCAACGCTTTCTTTTCTTAATAATTGTTAAGAGGGAAAAAAAACTAAGCAATGCCCTTGGTACATCATTCATTTGGTGGTGTGTTTATCAACTCCTGCTCCTAGAAAGTCGGTTGTCGGCAAAATGCTTTACATTGACAGACTAGTATTGTCTAATATTCTTCCTACTTCTTTGGTAGGCATTTTGATGGTTTGTGCTAAACTTGCAGATATGTCCAGTACTACAAGGAAAGGGAGAAGATGGAACACAGGTATTGAAGTCAGGCGTGGAGTCTGTTTGCACCTTAAAATAATATTTTATTTTTTATTGGGCCACATGGCTATTTGCACTATATGTTAATATTCAATTAATTTTAATTAATTGATATATGATTTTTATATATGGGCTAATAGAGGATTATTTCAAGGAGTGTGTTACTAATAGGACTCTTATTCAAAATTGGAGTTTAAAATCAACAATTCCCTAATTTAAAGCCACGTCCAAAAACAAGTTCATTTTAGATAAAATCTTCAGACAAAGTGTTTGAATTCAAATAGGATATTTGAATTCAAACGACACGAAAGTAGCAACTACTTTCAACCGCTACAAGATTTTTTCTATAAATAGTACCCAAAGACATCTGTGCAAAAGGTCCATAACCAACACAACGCATTTTCTTTATCAATGTTTTTCATTCTTGTCCTCGGTATGGGAATTTTACTTATGAAATAAAAGTCGATGGTTGGCTTTAGTCCCCTCTACTTTTATTTTCTAAGTCTCTTGGAATAAATGAATGCTCGTCTAATTTGTTTTACTCCCTTCATCTATTCTACATATAGTGCTGAAAGTTCTCTTTATTATGAGGCGTCGAAGAACCTGAAGGAAGGGGTCATCCTTGCCTTCTAGCAGTCGCCTGATTTTTCATATTCGGTCAGTACTAAGGGAAGTTTGGCTATCCAACTCCTTGGTCGAAAGACTTTGGCATGCACCTAAAAAAAAATAGCCAAATAGAGTCAAAGTGCTTTCAATTCATATGAAGGCCATAGTGTTTTTGTAGTTTTACCGGAAAATAAGCTGACTGTTGTAGTATCGACCGCCACATCTACAATCTTCGTTTTACATGTACCGGTTTAGTTTGTACTTGTGGTCATGATATGTTTGTGAGTTTGTTTGGGCGTGTTGAATGAAAATGATCCCGGAAGTAGATTCTTATATATTGGTTTGGGTTATGGCCAACATGGGCCATCAGCACATAATCCTTGATTTCGTTATATACTAGTTTCTGATAAAGAATTGAGAGGGCGAGCCTTGTTTACGGGTTCAAAATACCTTTGAACCCACTAAGGTAAAGCTATTTTGTAATGTTGGGAGTCCAATTTTCTTAAATAAAAATCGTCTTTTATTTAAGAAAATATTGGCTAATGGTAATCACACACTCTTCTATAGTTTGCTTTAAAATTGCCTCATTTGGTATAATAGCCAATATATCTCTATCCCTGATTTCTGAAATAAGTATACCATAAATTAACCTAAACACAACATAAAAGGTTAATAATCAAATATATATATATATATATATATATATATATATATATATATATATATATATATTTTTAGCAATAATTTTACTAAGCTGTCACCAAGTCCTCTCG